ATAGGCATTCATTGAGTACCTACCATGGGCAGTGCACTGTTATGGCAGCCAATGTGCAGGCCCAGTGATGTGGCCTTCATTTTATTAAGATTTTGAGGTCTTAAGTTTTTTATTTAAATAATTTTATTGTGTAGATCATAAATATTTTATGAAACATATATGTAAAAATTTGTGTTTCCAGATATTTTAGGGAGAAAGCAACTATTTATTTAAAAAATAAAGAATTGCCCCAAATGGGTTGATTTGTGAAGTGCAGCAAAATTGCCTTCTCTGTTTTAATTCTTGAAGTGGGTGGTGGTTTACTTTATAATTATTTGTTAAGCTGTTTATGTATGTATATCCTTTTCTTATGTCCAATATTTAAATAAAAAAAGGAGGGGTGGGGGAAAGGTTTATCTAACCTCAAAATATTTTCTGGAACAGTGTCTAAAATTCCGTTGTTATTGAGTAATTATTTTAGTTAATATTTGGCCTTTCTTTTTACTCCTCTTGGCAGGTAATACATGATGAAGGCATAAGCCCATTAGTAGGATGGGTTTGTCAGGTCACTCTTCTCTGTAGCCTGAGTCTGAGCCAATGTAGGAGGGATTCTGGAAGATGGTATGATGAGGGGAGGAAAAGGAAAATTTAGTATTGGATGTTAACAAAATGGAAAGTCAGTAAACCCAAATTTACTGCATAACCTAAATTTCTCACCTTTGCGGATTTCAATCACCAACATATAACCTATCTTTACTGAATTGATTAGTTGTCTCAGATGGTGGTATGGTAAAATCTTACTAATTTGGACAGTGGTTAAAAAATATTATTCTGAACGTATAGTTACTACTTTTAAGTTACGTATTTAGTGACATAAATCTCAAACATATTGGCTAATGAAGATGTGTGACTATTATATGAATGGATACTTCAGAAGCACTCCCAGTAAATTAATGCATTTAGGTGTTTTTTCCCCATGTAGTCTTCCTAATAAGGCTCTTAAAACCCAGGCTTGTCTAGTTCACATTTTTTTATAGAGTAGGGGAGTACAGATGAAGAGATATTTAGTCCATATAAAAAGAATAGGCTGGGATTCACACTTGTAATCCTAGCACTTTGGGAGGCCGAGGCTGATGGTCACAAGGTTAAGAGTTTCAGACCAGCCTGGCTAACACAGCAAAACCCCATCTATACAGAAAATACAAAAAAAGAATTAGCTGGATGTGGTGACGGGCACCTGTAATTGCAGCTACTCGGGAGGCTGAGGCAGGAGAATCTCTTGAACCTGAGAGGCAGAGGTTGCAGTGAGCCAAGATTGTGCCACTGCACTCCAGCCTGGGCAACAGAGCTAGACTCTGTCTCAAAAGCAAAAAAAATAAAAATAAAAAGACTGTATGTGTTGGCGGGGCGTGGTGGCTCACGCTTGTAATCCCAGCATTTTGGGAGCCTGAGGTGAGGCGGGCAGATTGCCTAAGGTTGGGAGTTCAAGACCAGCCTGGTCAACATGGTGAAACCCCATATCTTAAAAATACAAAATTTAGCCAGGCATGGTGGCGCATTCCTGTAATCCCAGCTACTCAAGAGGCTGAGGCACAAGAATTGCTTGAACCCAGGAGGCAGAGGTTGCAGTGAGCCTAGATCATGCCACTGCACTCCAGCCTGGGTAGCAGAGCAAGACTCTATCTTAAAAAAAAATAAAAAATACTGTACATGTTAACAGTGAACAGTTTACCATTTTGAATATAAAGGAACCATGAATTAAGTCATATTACTGACTATATCTTATCTATAGTGGGTATGTGAGAGTTATAGCACTGTTGTATTAGTAGTCCTGACAGTAGAACAATTTATGTTGAAAAGTCTGGCTGTGCTGATTGCGAGTGTTTGTGACAGAGAGCACTCACATGATTTTTTTTTTCACCTGAAATTCTTTTGGAAAAGCATCTGGATAATACTTCATCTTAAAAATTATGATCTGGATATTGTGAAAAAACAAATATTGCTTTCTTTAAGCAGATATCTAAACATAGTTTGCATTTTTTTCTGTTTTAAAATATTCCGTTTTTCTGTGTGTGTGTTCATTTTTGGATGGCAGGAAAACAGGTGAAAGTGCTTAAGCAACCACACTTCTCCTAAGGTGATTGGTTGTTGGACTAATAAAAAAGTCGTCAGTCTAAAGAGAATGAGAGTTGGCACAAACCCAGGTCTATTAAGCTAGTTACTCAGGGCCTTGGTTAACAGGATGTTCACCTTTACTCGACTTTTTTCAGTTGATGTTATTGATACTCGGTATTGGTCTCTGCTGTGGCTGCCTCCTCCAGCCTGGAAAAATAGCTCTAGTACATGAAGATCCTTTTCATTTATATGAAATATTAATAACATCTGCTAAGAATACCACATTTAAATATAGCTTATTAAAAACAATTAAAATACTAATGTTAGGGGCTGGGCATGGTGGCTCACACCTGTAATCCCAGCACTTTGAGAGGCCAAGGCGGTAGATCACTTGAAACCAGGAATTCAAGACCAGCCTGGCCAACATGGTGAAACCCCATCTCTACTAAAAATACAAAAAAGTTAGCTGGGCTCAGTGGTGTGCACCTGTAATCCCAGCTACTTGGGAGGCTGAGGCAGGAGAATTGCTTGAACCCAGGAGGCAGAGGTTGCAGTGAGCTGAGATTGTGCCACTGCACTCCAGCCTGGGTGACAAAGCAAGACTCCATCTCAGGAAAAAAACAAAGAAGAAAAAACAAATCACGTACAAAAAAACTCATGTTAGGGCACGCCTACTGTCTAGGACATAAATGAATTAATCCCTTCTGCCACTGCCCCAGACGTGTACCACATGGAGTTCTACTTGTGAGAAGCAGCTTCATCCAAAATCTGTTTTGGCAGTTTTGAGAATCTGCCCTTGTGAGTTTGTTAATAGTCACGTGGTTATGGCAAAAGTGACTAAGATGGTAACTGGCCACTGCCAATGTTTTATGGAATACGGGGTAGTTCAAGGGAGTTAATTAGTTGTGTTTTGTTCATCACACCAGTTGAAATTTACCCTAACATTATTATTTTCTTATGCCTGGCTTCTGGATGTTGCTCATTTATTGGCAGTAGCTCCAGCATGATCTTACCTTTTATGCCACATGTGTCTTCAGGCTCACCTTTTCAAGATTCCAAAATAGGAACACAATTCAGATATGGAGTCCATGTCAAATGTCTTAGAGTTACAGTTTTTGGAACTCTTATTGAAACCACCCTTTCTTTTCTCTGTTCAAAATATTTATTATGTTTATCTTTCCCAATGGATAGCTAGACATACCTCCCAACTGCTCTGGAGCAAACTCACCAACCTCGGGGATGCTCAGGTGTTCCACCTGTCTTGTTCTCTTGCCTCAATCTCAGGTGTTCTTCTCGTTGGACATCTCTTTCACTTGCCGCCCCCGCACCCCTTGCCCCGTCCCGCTCCGGCCTTTTTAGACTGGAATATAGTGGCACGATCTTGACTCATTGCCACCTCCCATCTACCACGTCCAGTCCAAGCAATTCTCCTGCCTCAGGGAGGCAAGCTCTACCATGCTAATTTTTTTATTTTTAGTATGAGGTTTCACCGTGTTGGCCAGGCCAGTCTTGAACTCCTGTCCTCATGATCCGCCCACCTCAGCTTCACAGAGTGCTGGGATTACAGGCATGAGCCACTGTGCCCAGCCCACTTGCCCTTTAAAGAGTTCATCTCTCCCAGTTGACTCTTAATCTAGACTGACTCTTGAGCCACTTGTGGGTGGGCCACAGGTGGAAGTACTGTGTGGTTTAGAGCTAAGTCTCTGGAACTAGTCTGCAGGGTTTCAAAGCTTGCCCCACCACTGTGTGGGAAGGGCCCATTTTTATTATATTTTAAAATGAGCTAACATTGGTATCTACTTCATAGGATTATTTTGAGGATTACATGAGTAAATAGATGTGTGGCACTTGTAACAGCACCTAACATAGAGTAAGTACTCAATAAATATTAGTGCTTACTAATATTACAAACTCATCTTCATGACACACACTCTTGGTGGTTAGTCACCGTTATGCATTGGATTGAAGAACTCTGACTGTGCACTACCCCTGCAGGAGTAGATCCGAGGAAGACATACCTGCATGGCACATAGTCATAACTGAGCAGGTCCTGTGGGCATCTGTGCATGCTGATTTCCCCTGCTCATCTAAACTGCCTCCTCCTTGAGTAAGGTGCATGCCCACTGGGGAAGAGTTGTTTCCAGAACCCACACACCTCACTCCTGCAGGCTTATTAGTCTCTGCCCTGAGAGTGGGACCCTGACCTCCTAGATGGGCCCAGACCCTTCAATTATCTTTATTTCAATCATGACTTCCAGCATTGTGTCTGCTGTGGGCTCCCTCTGCTGGTTCCTCTAGCTTGTATGCAAATCTGTGGAATAACAGCTTTTAAAAATTCAGTTTCAGATTTTTAGGAATGTTTACATGAAGAACACATTTGAAAACATCTTTTTTTGTATGTGAGTGATACAGATCACATGTATATTACTCTTATTTTGGCACCTGCACTAGGAGTTGGAATATTTTCAGGTTTGAAATTTTTTGTTTGGTTTGATTTCAAGTGGGGACTGCCATAATATGCTGAGAAACTTCTTCACAACATAGTCATCAAAAGCTGATCATTATGTTTTATATTCTAATATATGGTACTAAATATCTCAGAATATCATTTTAACAGTCCAAAGTGAATGTTATTTTAACATCTAAACATGTGGAGACTTAGTTTTGAAGTCTGAAAAAGTCATAGCCTAGACCCCTAGGACATTGTTATGTTGAGGGTTTAGTACACCCTAGAAAATAGTACCTCAAAGTTATTGGGTGATTCATTATTTAGTTGGGGTTATACTTTATCAATAAAATGTGCCACAGTGTCCCTAAAATTGTATTTTAAAATAAGTCTTCTGCTTCTTTGCATTTCCTTATCACTGTTTCCTTTCTCCCTTCCATCTTCTCTTCCTTTCTGCTAGGATCAAACAGCATCAATAGGGTAACTGCAAACATGGAAAATGGAGAAAATGAAGGAACAACTAAAATTATTGCACCTTCACCAGTAAAAAGGTCAGTGAAGTTAACTGAAGAAACGTGCAGTCATATGCTATGATAAAAATGATTTTTTCTGTAGACAAGGTTAAAAATCTTTTAACTTTGATGATTAATGAATACTTTTGATCCATGGGTTTCAATAAATAATCTCTGGGCCAAAGTATAAATTAAAACACCAGTGAAATATAAAACATCAGGACCTGCCTCATTTGAAGAAAATGCTCTTTTTGTCACAGCAAGGTGAATCACAGATAGTCTGTGATCTGCATTCTCCATAGCAAAGTGAAAATTCCTTGTAATTTTTAAAATGCCATGATATAATGGACTAACTCAGAGGGACTTGTAAAATAAAGTAGATAATATTCAAGTTTTAATGTTCTGTGTTCATTACAGTGGTGCACGGAGCTGTTCCCTGGAAAGAGGGTTTATGGTATTTAGAGGCATCAGAGCCTCAGAAGTCAGTGATTGCATATGTATGAAGACTTGTCATGGTCCTCTGCATCTATTTTCCCAGGGGCATTCCCAGTGGGGAAGCCTTTTCTTAATATGTTACATGGATTGTTTCCCTGAGAGCTCAGCCTTGTTTTCTGTTAAGACACTGTTGCAGAGTCATTTTTTCTTATCTCCAATTATGTTCACGGAACAGCATTACAGACAACAATGAGCAGCTTTCATAAGCTCACTTGCTCTGTGGGGTTGCCCCACATGCCTCATGGGGAAGTCCCAGCAGTAAGAGATATGTGACCTGCAAAGACTTCTTAGATCATCTGCTTGTTATATTTTTTAGTAAATAATGGTGTCTTCATTCAGTGGGATTGTGGCTACTTTGAGGAATGTAGTTCATAATTTCTCAGCAAGATAACTTGAAGATCTGAAGATTCTCAGAGTTATAATATTTTACCCAAGGATTTGCGTATGTTTTCTTTCATTTAGTTCAAGACATATACCAGTTCTTTTTTTAGAATGACAGGTTCTTTATCATTGCATATCTTCAGTTTACCATATTTCCTTAGCCTCACAGCTGTGGATAAATAGCATCGACTTCATCTGTATGTACAGGGTATGCTTGTGGTATGTTCAGCATAAGAACAGGAATCTTCCATGAGATTCAGATCCCAAGCTTTTTTAGCATGTGAAGAAGGAGTACAATCCTCCTTTTAAAATTTTATTTTTTCAACTTTATTTTAGGTCTAGGGGACCATGTTTTGGTAGGTTTGTTACATGGGTAATTTGCGTGTCACTGAGGTTTGGTGTTTGCATGATCCTATCACTCAGATAGTAAGCACAGTACCTGATAGGTGGTCTTCAACCCTTGCCCCCTCTCCTCCTCTGGTGGTCTCCAGTGTCTGTTGTTCCCATCTTTATGTCCATGTGTACTCATTGTTTAATTTCCACTCATAAGTGATAACATGTGGTATCTGGTTTCTGTTTCTGTGTTAATTCACTTAGGAAAATAGCCTCCAGCTGCATCCATGTTCCTGCAAAGGACATGGTTTCATTGTTTTTATGGCTGTGTAGTATTCCATGGTGTGTATGTGCCACATTTGCTTTATCCAGTCCACTGTTCATAGTCAACTAGGCTGATTCCGTCTTTACTATTGTGAATAGTGCTGCAATGAACATGTGAGTGTATGTGCCTTTTTTTTTTTTTGAGATGGAGTCTCATTTTGTTGCCCTAGCTGGAGTGCAGTGGTGTAATCTTGGCTCACTGTAACCTCTGCCTCCTGAGTTCAAGTGATTCTCCTGCCTCAGCCTCCTGAGTTGCTGGGAGTACAGGCACGCACTATCACACTTAGCGAATTTTTGTATTTTTAGTAGAGACGGGGTTTCACCATGTTGGTCATAATGGTCCCAATCTCTTGACCTCATTATCTACCCACCTTGGCCTCCAAAAGTGCTGGGATTACAAGTGTGAGCCACCATGTAAGCCATGTGTCTTTTTTTTGTAGAATGATTTGTTTCCCTTTGAGTATATATTCAGTAGTGGGATTGTTGGGTCAAATTGTGGTTCTAAGTTATTTGAGAAATCTTCAAAGTGCTTTCCACAGTGGCTGAGCTAATTTACATATTTTCACCAACAGTGTATAAGTGTTTTTTGGCTGGGTGCCCTGGCTCACGCCTGTAATCCCAGCACTTTGGGAGGCTAAGGTGGGCAAATCACTTGAGGTTGGGAGTTTGAGACCAGCCTGATCAACATGGAGGAACCCCATCTCTATTAAAAATTAGCCAGGCGTGGTGGTACATGCCTATTATCCCAGCTACTTGGGAGGCTGAGGCAGGAGAATCACTTGAATCTGGGAGGTGGAGGTTGCAGGGAGCTGAGATTGTGCCATTGCACTGCAGCCTGGGCAACAAGAGCAAACTCTGGCTCAAATGAAAAAAAACAGTATTCTCTTTTTCTCCACAATCTTGCCAACATCTATTATTTTTTGTCTTTTTAATAATAGCTATTTTGAGGCCAGGCGTGGTGGCTCACGCTTGGAATCCCAGCACTTTGGGAGGCTGAGGCAGGTGGATCACGAGGTCAAGAGATCAGGACCATCCTGGTCAATATGGTGAAACTCTGTCTCCACTAAGAATAGAAAAGTTAGCTGGGCATGGTGGTGCACATCTGTAGTCCCAGCTACTGGGGAGGCTGAGGCAGGAGAATTGCTTGAACCCAGGAGGCAGAGGTTGCAGTGGGCTGAGATCACACCACTGCACTCCATCTCAAAAAGTAATAATAATACTAATAGTAATAATAGTAATAGCTATTTTGACTGGTGTGAGATAGTGTTTCATTGTGATTTTAATTTGCTTTCTTCAAATGATTAGTGATGTTGAGTATTTTTTCATGTATTTGTTGGCTGCATGTATGTCTTCTTTTGAAAAGTGCCTGTTCATATCCTTTGCCCATTTTTTAATGGTGTTGTTTGTTTTAACTTGTTTCATTGTTGAAGTTCTTTATAGAGTCTGGATATTAGACCTTTGTCAAATACATAGTGTGCGAATATTTTCTCCCATTCTGTACATTGTCTGTTTACTCTGTTGATAGTTTCTTTTGTTGTACAGAAGCTATTTAATTTAAAGTCCCATTTGTCAATTTTTTGTTTTGTTATACTTGCTTTTGGGGACGTAGTCATAAATTCTTCGCCAAGACTGATGTCCAGAATGATATTTCCTGGGTTTTCTTTTAAGATATATTTGTATAGTTTGAGGTGTTACATAACTTCTTTATCTTGAGTGGATTTTTGTATATGGTAAAAAGAAGGAGTACATTTTCACTCTTCTGCATGTGGGTAGCCATCCCAACACCATTTAGGGAATTTTTCCACATTGCTTGTTATAGTTGATTTTGTTGAAGATCAGATGGTTGTAGATGTGCAACTTTATTTTTCGGTTCTCTATCCTATTCCACTGGTCTTTTTGTTGGGCTTTGGACCATACTGTGCTGTTTTTGTTACTGTAGCCTTGTAGTATAGTTTGAAGTTGGGTAGTAAGATGCCTCCAGCTTTGTTCTTTTTACTTAGAATTGCTTTGGCTGTTTGAGCTTTTTTGGAGAGGAGGTTCCATTTTAGAATAGTTATTTTCTGTGAAAAATGATGTTGGTAGTTCGATAGGAATAGCATTGTATTTGTATGTCTATTGCTTTGGGCAGTGTGGCCATTTTAACAATATTTTTCAACCACCTTTGCAACCACATTCCTGTGATAGTACTGATACCTGAAGCGCCACCAAAGTTTTCCTTTCAAGGTTCAGATGAGAAATACTTTAGGGAGTGAATGCAATTAACTTGTCACCCAGATTTCATTATTCTTTAACTTTCGTCTACTCTCTCAGTTCCTCCTTTATCTTCCCATTTCTTTTTCAGTCTCCCTTCTCCTTTCTCTTTGCTTTTTCTGATTTGTTGAACACATACACTTTCTACTGTTGTAGTAAGTATCTACCATATTTATTACCTTTCTTCATTTCAAAAGGTAAGGTTTTACTTTGGGAATTGGATCTGTAGAAGTTTTTAACCTTTATAAAAATAATAGAAAACTTAGCTACTATATACTATCTACAAATCTCATGAATTGTATGCCTCTGTCAGATACATAATTTTATAGGCTTATATTGATTCCTTCATGGATAGTATACTAGGGTACAAGTCTGTTTTCTTTTTATTATTGTTTTTAAATGGCCTTGTCATCTCTCCTCTCTTCTCTTTGTTGGCTGTTATAAAGGACTGTGCTATCACTGTATCCTAGAACAGTTATATAGAGGATTCATCAAAAAGCCAGGATTAAAAGTGGATTTGGAGTTAAATAGCTCTATCTTTGTCTGAAGCTAAGACTCCTGAGGATGTGAGAGGTGACACAACCCTCCCTCCCTGATGCCTGGAGGCTTCTGATGTGTCCCTTTCTCTTTGTCTCTGTGTTTCCCCATGGGTTTCTAAAACAATTTGTTAAGGGTAGAATAACAACTCAGTTATATTTACATTCTTAGGACTGAAAGATGATACTAGGTCAGGAAATAGCATTTGAAAGTCATTCTGATTTGGAGGGATGAAGCCAAGATGTGGCAGAAGCTGGGAAAAGGTCAGTTTAGGTAGCCTGAGCCTGCCTGGGGTGGACCAACCCGTGTGGATTCAGACCCGTGCCTGGAGCCAGGGCTTCTCTGATCACTGTCGTAAAACGGGATCCAGGCTGAAGATCCTGGGAAGCCCAGCTCCTTCCTCCTTGGCTTTCTTCTTTTCTTGGCTCTGTGGTTCCCCTTGTTTCCTCTCCTGCAGGTGGACTCTAGAGTTTCTTAACAGTTGATGAACCTGGAATCTGTTGACTAAAGCAGTAAAACTAGAAAGAAAGAGTGGGGAAAGACCCAAAGGTACTTACTGGAAACAGATTTTTTTTTAGGCAGTGACTTCATGTTCTTTTTAGAGTCACAGGTGTAAACAAGCAAATAAGCGTGCACATTTTAACTTTGTTAAAAAATTTTACTTAACGAATAAGTTTGTGTGTTTACTTTTGTTTTCTACTTAATTTATTTTTCATACTTTTTTTTTTAATTAAAGCTTTAAGAAAGCAAAGAATGAAAATAGTCCTGATACCCAAAGAAGCAAATCTCATGCACCATGGGAAGAAAATGGCCCCCAGAGGTAAAGGGAATCATTGTTTCTATAAAGGAGACAGTAGAAAAGGGGTTAGCACTTGCAGCTCCTTGAATAAAGGAATCCAGCTGCTGAGTGACTGATCACAGCTAGCTGTGGATAAAGTGGGCAGACTCTAAATCATTGTGACTGGGAGAGGGGGAGGGTCTGGGATTTCTGAAGTGGAAATCAACAGTATGTTTGATAACATGAAACTCTTTCCTGGAAAGCCAAAAGGGAAACCTAAGAAATACTATGAAATTGCCTGTAAGGTAATATATTTCTGAAAACTCTCAATGACATATTAATGATAATTTGCCCCATTTCTTAGTTTTGGTTAAAAACTTAAGTCAAAAACTATAGCTGATGAATAGTGATGCTGGAAGACCTTTATTCCTAAAGATATGGATATGTCTAGTTTATTTCTGGTAACAACTACCAAACCAGTGACAGACCTATGTTGTACCTTACTGTTCAAATTCTAGCCCTGTCACTTCCTAGCTACTTTATTTGGGCCATTTAATTAAGTAGTCTGTATTTCAATTTTTTTTTCTGTTTAACAGGTCTAATAATTATATGTCAATGCTGAAGGCTGATATGAAGATTAGCTGAGATAATGCATGTAAAGCCTTTAGTTGAGTCTGTTTAGAAAGGGGTAAATTCATCATATATATGAATTGTTATTGTTATCATTTGTGTGTTCATTTTTTACTACTGAAGTCTAGTGAGACAAATGGCATTCCTGCAAAATAATGACCTTTATGATTTGATTTGCCAGATCTTACCTCTTTTCTTTCAATAAATCTTGTCAGCAAAGAACCACTTGGAAGTACCAGCTGTGCAGTTACCAACTACTCTAGGTCTGGACTTCTCTCGGGACCTCTCTGGACCCTTTGTGACCATTTCTCTTTCTCTCCAGTGGACTCTACAATTCTCCCAGTGACCGCACTAAGTCACCAAAGTTCCCTCACACGCGTCGTCGAAACCCCTCCTGTGGAAGTGACAATGACTCTGTACAGCCTGTGAGGAGGAGGTAAGTGGAATACAGTCCTTCTGCTAGCAGTTTTCAATAGAAGCATTTTGTCCCAGGCCTGTCTTTATAACAGGTGATTCTTACACCAACATTACGGTTTCTCTCAAGATAATGGGAAGCTTACTACTCTTTTTGAGATAAAATAAGTTAGGAATCCTGAAGCATTTATCTTAGCCAGAGTTTTGGAGAATTCTTTCATAAAATGTAGGCAGGAACTTGCTTTCATTATTCTATTTATGACTAATGTGTCTAAAACTAGTATAATATATACTAAAAGTATGTATTATGTGTAGTATATAGTATAGAAAGTATATCTTACTATATGAAACATCTTGTTTCTACCTGAGAAGACAAAACTACACTTAAAGGTAAGCCTTATTAGCTGAAAAATGCCTTTTAAAGCACAGAAAAAAATGAATCCTGTTATGTTTTACCCGTAAGGTTAGAATGTTTGAAGGGATTATATTTGTGTATGTATGCTAAATAAAAAAGTTCTTAGCTGGAAGTTTTGGACCTCTCCACAAAGCAGGCTGGGCAATATGGCAGGTGCAAGAGAAGACGACGTAGAAATGACTCAGTGAAATTCTTTTCACTCCTGCGTGACAGGGATTTTGGTTTTCTTTGAGTACCTACATAATTGGCATTATATAAATGACTTTTTCTTTTTCCTCTTTTTAAAAAATAAAAATGTATAAATTAAAGTAGAGATGGGGTCTCTCTCACTATGTTGCCCAGGCTGGTCTTGAATTTCTAGCCTCAAGCAGTCCTCCCAGCTCGGGCTCCCAAAGTGCTGGGGTTACAGGCATGAGTCATTGCACCCAGCATAAAGACTTTTATAATTGTAAGAAGTTCAGTTCATAATTTCAGGTAACCATCAATACACTTTTTATATACACTGCAGGTTTGGAAGCTGAGCCCTCCTTTCACCTGTGCCCTAGTTAAAACACACTTGCTGGCCCTTTGCTGCTTGATCCCTTTTGCTTCTGCTAGTTTCCCAGAGCTTTATTCCCATCTTTCTAAAACCAAATTCAACTTCACTGAAATCCTTTGATGGTTACGAAAAGAAGGGTCTATATTTCCTTCATGTAGTAGGACTGACGTCATGGGGCTAGATCAGGACCCAACTGATTAGATAGAACAATAGAGTAATAGAAGGCATTTGTTTGGTATTGGCTGTATTCCAAGTACTGAGCAAAGTGCTTGCTATATATTATCTCATTTAATCCTGATAATAACCCTTTGGGAACTGGCATTTTTATTCAGGCACGATGTGATTCTAGCAGTGGGGAATTAAATAGGGAATTGGTGCAAAGGTGTAAGTAGGATTGAAGGTGCAAAAGGCAGAGAGTGGTGTAACTCAGAGATGTAGCTGCTATTACAGCCTCTGGACTGAAGAAATGCAAGGAGAGAAGTGGGTGTTACTTAGAGACCAGGAACCACTTCCAACTTTGAGCTGGCAATCCTGAGCCTGTCTTGCTGCTGACATTGCTGCAGGCACCGTGACAGATGCTAGGCGGGGACCACTGTTGCTGACATTGCTGGAGGTACCACCACTGTAGCCAAACAAAGAACCCCCCACTTCTCAGGAGTGTAAGAGTTGATGTCACAGGTACAAGTAGAAACAAAATCACTTTCCCCTTTTCCTGCCTTCAAATCTTACTGGAGTCTCTCTTAAGGAGAACCCAGCTGGCAAAGCTGTCCAGGAATATAAAATTTCCAGGCTTTCTATCTTGACAGTAGAGGGCAGATTACAGATGAGTCAGTAGAGGCTGAGTACCAATGAAAACTATTCAGCCCAGCATCACCACCTCACTTTTACAGTTAAGAAAACTGAGGCTTAAGGAGATGATGGTAGCTTGTCCTCTGTGGCACATGTGGGATTTGAATCCCGGTCTGTACATCTGAAAAAGGTGGAGATAGTGATAGCCCTCTTTTAAATAAGGCTGTGCTTCAGCTCTTACTCAGCTTTCTCCTTGGGAACACTAAGAGTTGGTTCAACTTGGACAATACTTAAAACCACAGCAACACCACTGGGAAATACTTTAAAGTGCATTTGTGTGTGTTGTATGTTGAGGTGACTTGGGTGGGGGTGATTAGAATTTAGTATATGTTATTGGTAGAGTTTTATAGTTTTCCACCCTTAATTAATTGGTGCAATTTGTCAGCACTCCCTAAACAAAATAATTACACATGTTGCGCAGCTAGTCACTTTAATACATTTGAAAATGAACTTAATTAAATTTTGCTAAAATATGCCTAAATTTGCATTGTTTTTGTACAAAATAATTGCCTGAGATAGTTTGCAGCATTTATACTCCCAAATCCAGACTTGGCTTCTACACTGAGATTGATTTTCCAGTGGCTTCCTGTGAAACACAGAGAAGTAATTGTGGAGAGTGGATACAGGATCCTTTCATTGGCGTATTCCAGGGGGAAGGCTATTTAAATTTGCTGGAAAGAGAATTTTTTTGCCTGAGGATTCATAGAGCCTTTTGCCTGGTGCACTTACAGGTCTCTTTGGAATGTGTGTTTTGAGGCAGCGAGCCATTGCTGCATGTTGACATAAAAGGACTAAAGCATACTCTTCTCTGTTTCTTTCCAGTATAAATGCCCTATAAGCATCCCTGCCCTTGTCCATCTTGTTTTATCTTCACACATATTTAACTTGCACTGGGCACAAATCTCTACATTGCTGGATTAACATTGACATTTAAATTCCAGACATGTCGTCGACATGGAAGAATCTCAACTATTTAAGTTTAATAATAGGAAATTCTACTTTGCTTTGGATGTCAGGATAACACATTTTGCAATAAGTGTCAAAATTTCCTATTTTGTCAGTTGTTTGTTGTGAGATGGATACAAACCATCAAATTCTGGCCAAGTCCAGAATAGTGATCCTTAACCTTTTTGGGTGATACTACCCTCTGAGATCTGATGAAATGTTGGATTCATCCCCTAGGGAAAGACAGGTTCATATTTAAATACATATAAACATTTTCATATAATTTTCAAAGTTTATGGAGACCCTGAAACCTGCTTATTTAAACATTCCTATTCTAGAAAAAGAAAGCCAGCATATTTTCTGGTAGTACAATATATTTTCACTCCTCAGCTTTTACCTTTACATTCAAAAATGTTTGAGTGCCTGCTGTCTGCCATGCAGTGTGCTACCACCACTAGACAAGTTCCTGTCCTATGGTAGCTTACATGCTATTAAGGGGAAAATACATGAGTCATAGGAATATATGTGCTGTTATGACTTTACTATGTAATATGAAGGTAAGATATGTGGTACTTAAGGGAATTTAAAAAATTTTTATTGAAACCTAGCATGCATACAGAAAAGTATACACATGTCATAAGTGTGACCGCATGATAAATTTAATAAACACCTGTGTAATGAGCACTATTAGGGGAAGTTGAGCCAAGGAGGTTGGGGAATGGTTTCCTGAGGTTGGATGCTTGTGCCAGAATCTGAGATATAAGCAGGCAAAAAGGAAGGAATGATCATACCAGACAGAGGGGCTAGCACATGCAAAACCCTTGGGAGGGAAAGAAACAGGGAATGTTCATGAAAAGGAATAAAGGCCAGTATTTATGAAACTCTGATAGTGAATGAAAATGTGTTAGAAATGAGCCTAGAGAGAAAGGTGGAATCAGACCTTACAGCCCACCTGGACTTCGTCAGGATTTTGGTCCTTAGACTAGTGTTTTTTGTTTTTTGTTTTTGTTTTTAACAGGGAGTTCAATAACATCACATTTTTGTTTGTAAAGATGACCGTTACCGTCCTTTGGAGAAATGGTAGAAGAGGGTAGTGGCAGAAATGGAGACACCAGGCGGCAGGCTATTGTACTAGTCCTAGCAATAGAGAATGGGAGCATGGACCAAGGTGGTGATATAGAGATATAAAGAAGTAGTTGGTTTCAGTAGGCCAGTAGGAGGTAAAATTGGTAGGAGGATCAGTATGAGGGGTGGAGGAGAGGGAGCTGTCCAGAATGAAACCAAAGCTTGTTCAATTGTATGAATTCAGATGTGTTGTGTAGAAATAGAATCATCAGGACCTTGCTGGCTTGAATGGTACAATTGCCAATTTAGTTTCTGATATTTTGAATTTATAGAAGTCCAAGTGCAGGATTCCCATGGGTTGTTGAATATAAGTCAGGAGCTGGATTAGTTTTATGGACCAAAATAAAATCTTAAGTATGTTACTTGAAATATATAATAGAGATTAGGTTGTTTAGGTTGATAGTATAGATAGAATGCAGAAAGACAAAGCCAGTGACAGAGTTGTAAGAAGCTCAAGCATTTGGCTTAACTGAAGAAGATTAACTGGTGAAGGAGAAAGAGAAATTGTGGCCATGGAGAAATCAAGAGAGTGAAAATTTGCATACCAAATGTCTCCCTTTTCTCTTCTTTCCCAGAATACTAGAATCCAGGCTTATATTACCTAGGCAGAAAATTAGAGAATCCCTTTGTAAGAAATGGACAGGGACAAGTGAAAAGACTGTGGATACCAGCTTTCAAAGCATCTTCCAATGAAATGGTTATATCTCCCAGGCATGAGATTAGAGAATCCTACTGAAGGGAATGGACCAAGTACAAGAGAAAAGATTTACATATACTTACTTTCAAAGGATCCTTCAATGAAATGATTGAGGCTGCCTTCATATTACTGTGAGCCATTAGTTAACATGCTCTGCACCATCCAAAGGGCTCCAGTAATTTTAACACTTATTGCTTGAATAGAGAGAGAGATAGAAAGCCATGAACACATGCATTTGAACATTGCTTCTGTCTGGAAAGGCAAAGATTAAAACAAGCAAATGGGTGTTGGGTGGGGTTGGGGACATTCTCACAGGAAACAGACAAAATAAGAAAGAAAAATTTCTAAAAAACTATTTAGAAAGATGAAACAATATATCAATTTTTATCACTACAAAGGTAAGGATCAGTGAAGAACAGTTATTAGGCTTTAAATTAGTGTGCTAGAATTTAAAATAATCAGTAAAAGATTTGGAAGGTAACATTAAGAAAATCTTCCCCACAATGGAACAACAGCAACAACAACAACAAAAAAACACAGGAAAACTAGTGTATGGACATAAGGATAATAAAATTATCAAATCTAGATATCAGTCATTCAACTAATACAATTTCTATGAGAAAAGAACAGATAAAACACAAGAGAGGAAACTATTAAAGAAATAGCACAAGTAGATATTCCGTAACTGAAGGATGTGACATTGTAAAGAAGAACACACTGAGCATTTATCATAATCAATTGAAAACTTAGATTCATTACAAGGTTCATTATAATTAAATTTCAAAACGTAGTTTAAGAAAGAATTCTAAAGATATGGAGTGAACATGGGAATATGGGAGAGAAAAAAAATCCATGTACAAATGGTGACAAAATGACATTGGGAGTCAGACCTGGTGGCTCACACCTATAATCCCAGCACTTTGGGAGGCTGAGGTGGGTGGATCACCTGAGGTCAGGAGTTCAAGACAAGCCTGGGCAACATGGTGAAACCCTGTCTCTGTTGAAACTACGTATTAGCCAGGCATAGTGGCACATGCCTGTAATCTCAGCTACTCTAGAGGCTGACGCAGGAGAATCACTTGAACTCGGAAGGCAGAGGTTGCAGTGAGCTGAGATCGCGCCACTGCAATCCAGCCTGGGTGACGAGTGAAACTCGGTCTCAAGAAAAAAGACATTGGGCCGCTTAACAGTAATATCAGAAGAAGAAGGCAAAGAAGAATTGCCTTTAGAAGTCTGAAAGATTATTTTTAATTTAGGGGTCTAGGCCCAGATAACCGTAATTGTTTGTATAAAGACATTTTCAGAAATTTTGAGTTCCAAGAAAGTTATCTGCCATGCATATTTTCTCTGTTAGCAACTGAAAGATACACTTTACCAAAACCCAGAGAAGTAAGTAGCCAGAAGACCTGGAGATGTGGGATCCATTATACAGACGCAACAGGAGTTCCTTGGATTATGGTGAAGGGGGTTAATCAATAACAGGTGGTCCAGGTATTACAAGCAGGAGAGTAGAGAGCTCCAGGAGAAATTTAAATGGAACTTGCAGATTACTTGAGCATCCATCCATAGCAGGAGTTTTGCAGTTCTCTCAGAATTTGAAGAATTAGTGAGAAGCAAAAGAACACTAAGCAAGTGATATGCACATGGAAAACTTAGGCAAGTATCGTCTCCCAGAAAATTTAAAACCTATAAAAGAATGGAATCATATTCCTGGAACACTATTTAGATCATCTGTGAACAATATCTGTATAATTGTGTTTATGCCAAATAGTGACCCCAAAATTTGATGCAAGAACAGGGATCACATATTGGTGTTAATGTTATTTGATATAAGCATATTGAAGGAAATGGGGTAACATAAGCTATGCATTGAAGAGCCATGTCCATCCCGCCCAATCATAGTGGGAAGGTGCTAGATTAGAAAGAAGGTAATCAAATGGAGCATGGGGCATAAACACCATTCTCAAGAAGTTTGTGAGGAGAGAGGAGGGACTGGGCAGATGAGGGGGGATGTAGACTCAAAGTAGGTCTGTGTTTGAACAACAGAGACTTGAAAAAGTTAATAGCTTGTAAAAAGAGTCTGTCAGACAGGCAAGGTGACTATGGGTGAGAGGTAGGAGGGTAGTTAATGAAATTCATTGAGAAGACCCGAGGTGATGTGATGGGACCCACAAAGCACTGGTGGAGAGACTGACCTTGGTAGTAAGGATAAATCCACAAATAACAGAGAAGATGTTAGTAAGTTTTTATTTTTGGTAGCAGGAAGATGGAAGAATTCCATCTGGAGGCTACTTTGTCCTCTGGAAGGAGAAAACAAAGTCATTTGCTGAAACAAGGATACTATGGGTCAGAGGGTTGCAGGATGGAGAGTTTGAAACTGCTTTTTACTTAGATCTGTGAAATGTGACAGGATTGCTGAACCATGGTGTGGCCCCACTTCAGGTTTATGGACATAGATTTGTAGTGTAACTAATAGGCCCCTTTTGTGTGACTCCTTCCAGCACTGCTCAGCTAGCTATTTAAGACTGATCCAGAAAACTTGCATGGTTAGATTCACCCATGTCTGGGATTTTCATCAAAAAGATGGAATGAAAAACAGAGTCAGGGAATGTGTTGAGTATCAGCATGAGTTATTGAAATGATAGATTAGGAAATCTAAGCTTAGTACAGAAGGACAGGGAAGAGAGGTGAAGAGCTGGTGGAGAGTAGCCAGGTCAGTAGATAGTCTTATTGGGGTCAAAGAAAAGGAACAGTGGAAATAGTTGAATAAGCAATAACAGCTTATCTTGGTTGAATGCTAACAATGACCCAGGTCCTATTGTATGCATTTTAAATATATTAATTCATTTTATCCTTTAGAGCAGACTTTAAAGGAGATTCCATTAAAAGTGAGTCACTGCGTAGAAAAGTAACTTATTTAAATCACACAACTCATCGTTGAAGGAGATGGGATTCACATTCAGGTTGTCTGGTACCAGAGCCAGCACCTTTAACCAGGATGCCCCACTGAAGCTGTTTGAAAGTAAATGGGGAGTGGTAAACAGGAAGAAGAGGAGATTGGGGTAAGAGAGCGAAGTGTTTGGAGGTGGTTACAGACGATAAAGTCCAAAGTATGACCATGATGTAGGTTGCTGAGTTGAAGTGGAGGAGATTATGAGAGGAGATAAAAATAATTTGGAGCCAGGGTATGGGAAAGGGCATCCAAGTGAGATGATGTCAATTCTACTATGGCAGAAATCAGCTTGGAGGATTGCAGTTCTGAAACTGCAGACTAACGTCATCGTTAGATGAATAGAATTCAGATGGTTTGCAGAACCCACTAGAGTGAGGCCAGGTGATGTTATTAATAGTATATTTCTGGGACCTGTTGTATGCATATACTCATGACTTAAATGTTTGGTGAATGAATGAAGGTATGACAGATAGGTATTAACTGAAGTGAAACTCATTTTATTGTGCTTTCCTTAGCCAATTGATAATTTCCTTTTGCTTTAATGTCTTTGTTTTCACAGGAAGGCCCATAACAGTGGCGAAGATTCAGATCTAAAGCAAAGGAGGAGGTAAAAAAAAAATGGCAGGAGAGAGGGAAGAAGGGTTAGCAGATTTAGCAATGCTCAGAGTTGAGGGAAAAAGTGGGGGAATTATTTTTTTAGTTTTCAAAACCAATTTATCTTCAATTGATTCCAAGTCTTCCATTCTGTTGCATCCTGAGACAGTGCTGTTTTCTTTTCTTTGTGTCTCAGAGGAGCTGTCTCATTTATCTATTATTGCCATATTATAAATTACTCAAAAACTCATTGACTTAAAGCAACAACAACGGTATTTATCTAGTGTAATTCTGTCAATTGGACAGGTATCTTTTTAGCTAGTCTTGTTTTTGGTTTCATGAGGCTGTGTTCAGATGACAGCTGAGATTGTGTTATTTGGGGGGCCTTTCTCTTTCATGTTAGCATCTTGGCAGAAAGGCTGGAGGCCTGGGACATCTTTGCCTAGTCTCTCCATCTGGTTAGCTTACACTTCTTTAGGCACTTCTTTTTTACTTCTTTTTTTTTTATTTGTACTTTAAGTTCTGGGGTACATTTGCAGATCTTGCAGGATTGTTGCATAGGTATACACATGCCATGGTGGTTTGTTGTCTCCATTGCCCCATCACCAACATCTGCATTTCTCCCAGTGTTATCCCTCCCCAACCTCCCTGCTTCCTGCTGCCCCTCCTCTAGCCCTCCACCCCCAACATACCCCAGAGGGTGATGTTCCCCTCCCTGTGCCCATGTGTTCTTCTTGTTCAACACACATCTATGAGTGAGAACATGCAGTGTTTGGTTTTCTGTTCTTGTGTCAGTTTGCTGAGAATGATGGTTTCCAGATTCATCCATGTCCCTACAGAGGACGTGAACTCATTGATTTTTAATGGCTGCATAGTATTTCATAGTGTATGTGTGCCACATTTTCCTTGTCCAGTCTATCATTGATGGGCATTTGGGTTGGTTTCAGGTCTTTACTATTGTAAACAGTGCTGCAGTGAACATATGTATGCATGTGTCTTTATAATAGAACGATTTATAATCATTTGGGTGTATACTCAGTAACAGGATTGCTGGGTCAAATGGAATTTCTGTTTCTAGATCCTTGAGGAATCACCACACTGTCTTCCACAATGGTCGAACTAATTTACACTCCCACCAACAGTGTAAAAGTGTTCACGTTTCTCCACATCCACTTGAGCATCTGTCGTCTCCAGTTTTTTTAATGATCACCATTCTAACTGGCATGAGATGGTATCTCAATGTGGTTTTGATTTACATTTCTCTAATGACCAGTGACGCTGAGCATATTTTCATATGAAGCATATGTTTCATATCCTTCCCCCACTTTTGAATGGGTTTGTTTGTATTTTCTTGTAAATCCTGCTTTAGTTCTTTGTAGATTCTGGATATTAGCCCTTTGTCATATGGGTAGATTGCAAAAACTTTTTCCCATTCTGTTGGTTGTCAATTCACTCTAATGATTGTTTCTTTTGCTGTACAGAAACTCTTAAGTTTAATTAGATCCCATTTGTCTATTTTGGCTTTTGTTGCCAACACTTTTGGTGTTATAGTCATGAAGTCCTTGCCTATGCCTATGTCCTGAATGGTTTTGCCTAGATTTTCTTCTAGGGTTTTTATGGTGCCAGGTCTTACGTTTAAGTCTTTAATCCATCTGAAGTTAATTTTAGTGTAAGGTGTCAGGAAGGGGTCCAGTTTCTGCTTTCTGTACATGGCTAGCCAGTTTTTCCAACACCATTTATTAAACAGGGAGTCCTTTCCCCATTGCTTGTTTTTATCATGTTTGTCAAACATCAGATGGCTGCAGATGTGTGCCATTGCCTCTGAGGCCTCTGTTCTGTTCCATTGGTCTATATCTCTGTATTAGTACCAGTACCATGCTGTTTTGATTATACTAGCCTTGTAGTATAGTTTGAAGTGAGGTAGTGTGATGCCTCCAGCTTTGTTCTTTTTGCTTAGGATTGTTGTGGCTATGCGGGCTTACTTTTGGTTCCATATGAAGTTTAAAGCAGTTTTTTCCTGTTCTATGAAGAAGGTCAGTGGTAGCTTGATGGGGATAGTGTTGAATCTGTAAATTACTTTGGGCAGTATGGCCATTTTCACAATATTGATTCTTCCTAACCATGACATGGAATGTTTTTCCATCTGTTTGTGTTCTCTCTTTTTTTTTTTTTTTTTTGCCAATCAGTTTGAGCTTATGAGGTTGCTCAGGTTAGCCTTGAACTCATGACCTTGCCTTCGCAAGTGCCACGACCTCCGGCGCCACTTTGGCCCCCTGTTTGTGTCCTCTCTTATTTCCTTGAGCAGTGGTTTGTAGTTCTCCTTGAAGAGGTCCTTTACATCCTTTGTTAGTTGTATTCCTATATATTTTATTCTCTTTGTAGCAATTGTGAATGGGAGTTCTCTCTTGATTTGGTTCTCCGTTTGTCTGTTATTGGTGTATAGGAGTGCTTGTGATTTCTGCACATTGATTTTTTATCCTGAGATTTTGCTGAAGTTGCTTGTCAGTTTAAGATTTTGGGCTGAGATGATGGAGTCTTCTAAATATACAATCATATCATCTTCAAACAGAGACAGTTTGACTTCCTCCTTTCCTAATTGAATAGCCTTTATTTCTTTTTCTTGTATGATTGCTTGGGCTAGAACGTCTAATACTTTATTCAATAGGAGTGGTGAGAGGGCATCCTTGTCTAGTGCCAGATTTCTAAGGGAATGCTTTCAGTTTTTGCTCATTCGGTATGATATCGGCTGTGGGTTTGTAATAAATAACTTTTATTATTTTGAGATACATTCCATCGATATCTAGTTTATTGAGGGTTTTTTGCATAAAGCACTGTTGAATTTTGTCAAAGGCTTTCTCTGCATCTATTGAGATAATCATGTGGTTTTTGTCTTTGGTTCTGTTTATATGATGGATTACATTTATAGACTTGCATATATTGAACCAGCCTTGCATCCCTGGGATGAAGCCTACTTGAACATGATGGATAAGCTTTTCATATGCTGCTACAATTGGTTTGCCAGTATTTTATTGAAGATTTTTACATCTAGTGTTCATCATGCATATTGAGCTGAAGTTTTATTTTTCAGTTGAGTCTCTGCCAGGTTTTGGTATCAGGATGATGTTGGTCTCATAAAATGAGTTAGGGAGCATTCCCACTTTTTGTATTTTTGGGAATAGTTTCAGAAGGAATGGTACCAACTCCTCTTTGTACATCTGGTAGAATTTGGCTATGAACCTGTCTGGACCTGGTTTTTTTTTTTTTTTTTTTTTGGTTGGTAGGCTATTAATTGCTTCCTCAACTTCAGCCCTTGTTATTGGTCTATTCAGGGTTTCACCTTCTTCCTGGTTGAGGCTTGGGAGGGTGCAAATGTCCAAGAATTTATTCATTTCTTCCACATTTACTCGTTTATGTGCATAGAGTTATTCGTAGTAATCTCTGTTGGTACTTTGTATTTCTGTAGAATTGGTGGTGATATCCCCTTTATCATTTTTTATTGTGTCTATTTGATTCTTCTCTCTTTTCTTTTTTATTAGTTTGGCTAGTGGTCTGTTTTGTTGATCTTTTCAAAAACTAGCTCCTGGATTTATTGATTTTTTTTTGAAGGTTTTTTTTTTGTGTGTCTCTATGTCCTTCAGTTCTGCTTTGATCATAGTTATTTCTTGTCTTCTGCTAGTTTTTTAGTTCTTTTGATCTTGCTTCTCTAGCTCTATCAATTTTGACAATAGGGTGTTAATTTTAGATCTTTCCTTGTTTCTCATATGGGCATTTATTGCTATAAATTTCCCTCTAGACACTGCTTTAAATTTGTCCCAGAGATTCTGGTACATTGTGTCTTTGTTCTCATTGGTTTCAAAGAATATCTTTATTACTGCCTTCATTTCATTGTTTATCTAGTTGCCATTCAGAAGCTAGTTGTTCAGCTTCCATGCAGTTGTGTGGTCTTGCGTGAATTTCTTAATCCTGAATTCTAATTTGATTGCACTGTGGTCTGAGAGACTGTTATGATTTCCATTCTTTTGCATTTGCTGAAGAGTGATTTACTTCTAATTATGTGGTCAATTTTAGAATAAGTGCAATGTGGTGCTGAGAAGAATGCATATTCTGTGGATTTGGGGTGGAGTGTTGCGTAGTTGTCTATTAGGTCCACTTGGTCCAGATCTGCATTCAAGTCCTGGATATCCTTGTTGATTTTCTGTCTCATTGATCTGTCTGATATTGACAGTGGATTATTAAAGTTTCCCACTATTATTGTGCAGGAGTCTAAGTCTTTTTGTAGGTCATTAAGAACTTGCTCTGTGTATCTGGGTGCTCCTGTATTGGGTGCATATATATTTAGGATAGTTAGCTCTTCTTGTTGCAATGATCCTTTTACCATTATGTAATGCTCTTCTTTGTCACTGTTGATCTTTGTTGGTTTAAAGTCTGTTTTATCAGAAACTAGGATTGCAACCCCTGTTTTTTTATGTGTGTGTGTGTGTGTGTGTGTGTGTGTGTGTCCTTGCATGTGAGATGGGTCTCCTGAATACAGCATACAAATGGGTCCTGACTTTTTATCTGGTTTGCCAGTCTGTGTCTTTTGATTGGGGCATTTAGACCATTTACATTTAATGTTAATATTGTTATGTGTGTATTTGATCCTGCCATTTTGTTACTGGCTGGTTGTTTTGCTCATTAGTTGATGCAGTTTCTTCATGCATCATTGGTCTTTACCATTTGGTACGTTTTTGTAGTGGCTGGTAATGGTTGTTCCTTTCTGTGTTTAGTGTTTCCTTCAGGAGCTCTTGTAAGGCAGGTCTGATGGCAATGAAATCTCTCAGTAATTGCTTGTCTGTCTAGGATTTTATTTCTCCTTCACTTGTGAAGCTTAGTTTGGCTAGATATGAAATTCTGGGTTGAAAGTTCTTTTCTTTAAGGATGTTGAATATTGTCCCCTGCTCTCTTTTGGCTTGCAGGGTTTCTGCCGAGAGATCCACTGTGAGTCTGATGGGCTTCCCTTTGTGGGTAACCCGACCTTTCTCTTAGCATTTTTTCTTTGTTTCAACCCTGGTGAATCTGACAATTATGTGCCTTGGGGTTGCTCTTCTTGAGGAGTATCTTGTGGTGTTCTGTGTATTTCCTGTATTTGAATATTGGCCTGCCTTTGTAGGTTGGGGAAGTTCTCCTGGATAATATCCTGCGGAGTGTTTTCCAGCTTGGATTCATTCTCCCCATCACATTCAGGTACACCAATCAAGCATAGATTAGGTCTTTTCATATGATCCCATATTTCTTGGAGGCTTTGTTCATTTCTTTTCACTCTTTTCTCTCATCTTGCCTTCTCGTTTTATTTCATTGAGTTGATCTTCAATCTCTGATATACTTTCTTCTGCTTGATTGATTCAGCTATTGAAACTTGTGTATGCTTCGTGAAGTTCTTGTGCTGTGTTTTTCAGCCCCATCAAGTTGTTTATGTTATTCTCTGAGCTTGTTATTCTAGTTAGCATTTCGTCTAACCTTTTTTCAAGGTTTTTAGTTTCTTTGCATTGGGTTAGAACATGCTACTTTAGCTCGGAGAATTTTGTTATTACCCACCTTCTGAAGCCTGCTTCTGTCAGTTTGTCAAACTCATTCTCCATCCTGTTTTGTTCCCTTGCTGGTGAGGAGTTGTGATCCCTTGGAGGAGGAGAGGTGTTTTGGTCTTTGATGATTGCATCCTTTTTGTGCTGGTTTCTTCCCATCTTCGTGGATTTATCTACCTTTGATCTTTGAGGTTGGTGATTTTGGATGGGGTCTCTGAGTAGACGTCCTTTTTGTTGATGTTGAAGCTATTTCTTTCTGTTTTTGTTTTTTTTTTTTTTTTTTTGATGTATAAAGTTTTTTTTTTTTTTTTTTTTTTTGGTTATACAGGGGTCAGGGAACTGTTTGAGGAGGCATTCTATCCCTTGTCTGCCTGCAGAAGCCCTGCTAGGCTGCCTTGGACTCTGCCAGGCTGCTGTGTAGGCTTCTTCTGGCTTTTGTTTGTGCAGGTGAGATTAGACCCGCCTTCACAATGGTGGATGCCCTTATCCCAACCAAGCTGGATCGTCCCAGGTCGAGCTTGAATTCATATGCTGGCTGTGAAACTCTCAAATGAGAGGGCTTTAGTTTGCTGGTCTTTGTCGAGGTGGGACCTGCAAAGCCATATCACCTGTCTCCCTGCTTTTAGCTCTCCCTCTTTCTTGTGGGCGGGTAGATCAGTCCTGCGGGTGCTCGGTGTTAGCCAAAACCTCCACCTAGTTCTGTGCTGACAGCTAGCAGTGCTGGGCTGGCTGGAGCTGTCACTCAGATCTGCGCTAGCATCTCACAGCGCTTCTCAGCCCGGTGGCATTCTCGTGGACTGTGGGTTGCAAAGGGCATGGGAGAAGCACAGTATCTGAACTGGAGTGCTGAGGGGGTAAAATCCTGATCCTCCAGTTGGTTGTACTTCCTGGGTGGGGCAGCACCCTGCCCTGCCTTGGTTCACCCTCTCTGGGCTACACCCACTGTCCAACCAGTCCCATTGAAATGAACCTGGTACCTCAGTTGAAAATGCAGAGTTCACTTGTATTCTGTGTCTCCCTTGCTGGGAGTGGCGCTCCAGAGCTGTTCCTGTTCGGCCATCTTGGTGGAAGTTCCCTCTTTTACACTTCTTTAGGCTATGAGGAAGCAGAAGCTATCAATCTGTGAAGCGGCTAGTCCTGGAACTGACAGAGTATCCCTTTCACCTGATTCTATTGGTAAAATCAGTTACAAGACCAGTGTAAATTCAGAGGCTAGGGAAATAAGCTCTACCTCTCTCAGTGGTATGGGTGGAGGGATTACAAGATTTTGTGTCCATATTTAGTCCATCACTGACTTACAGCTTTGCCATGTCACAGTTCTGTTAGAAGTGATTGATTCTGTGGTCCTTTCTGGGAACATGCTGATACTCTCCTTAATCTGTTTTTATATTTCCCCTGCATTGCTATTCCCTGAGCTATAGACTCAGTTAGATGTCTGACTGAGTTCAGGAACACTGACTGGGAGAGGGATAATACAGCTCTTGATGTTTGGATTGGTAATTTAACTGCAAAATGAATTCCAAAGGAGCAATATAAACCTTTCTGAAATTTTTCATGAGTTATAAACATGTGTTTCTTTTTCTTTTGTTCTTACCATTTTGTCTTCAGGTCACGTTCTCGCTGTAATACAAGCAGTGGTAGTGAATCAGAAAATTCTAATAGAGAACACCGGAAAAAGAGAAACAGGTAATATCTCAATATTATAATTAACTGGCACTCTGAAATCAGAGGCTGCCCTTGGTGGTAGAAACTGTGTGTCCTTTGTAAATCTGGTTTTTTCCTTTGTGTTTGAGAAGCAATCTGGCACTATTTTGAAGCACTTAGTTTAGGAAACTTTAGCTCTTAGAGTGGAATTTTCTTATCTTTACAATAAGATGGTTAAACAGCTTGACAATGAGGTTCCTTCTTGTGTGTGTGTGTGTGTGTGTGTGTTTAAAGATGACTCAGTATATAGTTACAATGTATAGTGAATTTTTCTAAGGCTGGTAAGAAAGTTTACCATTTGTAAAGAGATTTCTCCTTGAACTGTCTTTTCAATGGCATTACTATATTTTATCCAACCAAAAATAACTCACTGTTTCTTAGATTGTGCATTTTCAGGCTCGTGTGTGTGTATGTGTGTATAATGCACTGATATGTGCATTTACTCATCTGTGTGTGTTTGACATTCCACATATGTAAGATATATTTTTAAGAGATTTTTAATCACATTGTTTGACATGTAATCAGTATTAGTGGTGGCTTAATGCATTAATCAGTTATCCCTAGTTCCAAAATATTTATTTGAAAACAAGAAGTATTTGTGTGATTAATGAAAAGATCACCTTGGGAGTCAGAGGGATTTGGTTGCCAGTCATGCCAACCTAGTGGTTCTCAACTGGGGAAGTTTTGTCCTCTCTGCCTTCTCCCCAAGGACATTTGGCAACAATGAGTCATTTTTTATTGTGACAATTGGGTAGGGAGATAGCAGCTGGCCAGGGCTGCTGTTAAACAACCTACAATGCATAGGAAGTCCTGGCAACTAATAAGTGCCTAGTAAAAAACATGTCAGCAGTGCCACTGTTGAGAAACCTGTTTTCACCTAATGTGGACCTCTGACCTGGCTGCTTTTTCTGGTTTATCTTTTTCTCTTCTGTAAAATGAAGAAGTTGGACTTGATAATCTCCAAGGTCTTTCTTTAATGCTTAGAACTCTTGTACTTGGCAAGAATTGAATCGGTGGCACTCTCTTAACTGCAAAGCCTGTGTGGCAATAATGGCCTAGATAGCATTGTAAGGGTAGACCATTTTGTTAGGAACGCATTCTATGTGGAGCCTTCTGGGGCTGGAATTACACTAGACAGATGGGAGATCTCAGTGTGTTATGACACCTTTCTTAAGGAAATGATTTCAGTTTCTTCTGTGAAAACCCAAGTGTGGGAGGTAGCTCTTTCTTAGGTACCCTCTTTCTGATAAAAAGTTGAGTATTACCATACAAACAACACAAAACAAAGCAAAAATACCTGCTTATTTTCCTATTTAAAACTTGTATTAATCCATCAAGCCAGTAGTTTAAGTCTATTTCTCTTTGACTTAATATATTCTGGCATGTAAATGTTCTTTTCTCAACTGTTCAGAAGGTGGCCCATTTAAAACCATTTTTGGAGGCCAAAATTGCTCACAGTACCATTCACTATTAAAAAGGATACACTAGTCTACGGCCATACCACCCTGAACACGCCCAATCTCGTCTGATCTCAGAAGCTAAGCAGGCTCAGGTCTGGTTAGTACTTGGATGGGAGACCACCTGGGAATACCGAGTGCTGTAGGCTTTATTAAAAAAAAAAAAAGATACACTAGTGAAAGGTTGCCATTAAGTTACTCGTTACTGATCTGGTTGCACTGGCTTTAATATTTCTTGTAGCTATTTTCTCTCTTAAGAATTTCTTTCCCTTTTCCATGGATGGATTCTTAGATTGGCTTTCTTTGTACTGTGTAAAAAGTATATTTTAGAATAATGGTGATTCTGAATGTTTAATGCAACCTTGTAAGGCTAGTAATGAGAAATAGCTTTCAAAACACCTTCTGACACATTTCATGCAAAGGATCTAGCAGGCTTTCACAATCATTTTTGCTACCTGTAGAAATACTGCTCTTGGAGTGCCTAAGTTGCCTATGTCTGTAGAAGATGTGCTGTAAAGTCTGCCTTTCAGTAGCATAGCAAAAAGTAGAGAGAGGAAGAAATACAGCTTTCAGTTCTCATCTGCACCACTGCAAATTCTGGCGCAACAGGTGACTGTACAGAGAAAGAGGGTGGAAGTTCATTGTGCTATTTTTTGGTGCCACTTACCTAGTATGCTATGCTACTGCCAAACCCTCCATCTCATTATTAGCCTGTTAAATTTTGCCAGAACCCACTCATCCCAGATGAGGATGCATAGGTCTGCGTATTTCAATTGCAGCCCTGCAGTCTCTTCAGCCTCATTCGTTCTTCCCTTCCTTGGCTGACGTGTGCTCCAGCCAGTTCTTAGCACTGTCCTTGGTGCTTTTACTATAGGACTCCGGTAACCCTACAGTGAGGCAGACAGAATCTTGTACATGCTGATGTTCTACTTCTTGCCAGTAGGTCTCTAAACTCAGCCCCAGGATGCTTCATCACTTTCCAACAAGAGCCTGTACACTGATGCACCCTGCTTTTCTGTCTCTAGGAAACTGTAGCCTAGAGAGAGAGACAACCACTGGGCAAATTTGCTTTTCAGAACCTCTTTAGGAGCCCATGATGTGTCCATTGGAACTCTGGACAGAGTCACTTTTACTTTCTGGAAGTTGCACATGGTCTTTGGGATGTTGCTCCTTCTGCTACTCCTTGCGGGATTTTTTTTTTTTTTAATATAAAGGAGGTCTTTCCTGTTAGGCATGAAGCTACTCCATGTAAATACTGTTTTCTTATTTCCAAGGAGTCAGCCCATTGAAGCATAAGCTGCTTTACTGTTTCCATGGATAACCATTTAAACATTTCTCATTGTGAAGAAATGTTTCTGAAGAGAAGCAAAAGTTAATGAAACAATGTTTATGAATCAACTTTATCCAAAACAGACTTTTAACAACCATTAAATTAAAAAATATAATAATGCACACCAGCTCTGGAAGGCTAATGTTAGAAGCAAAGATTTTTGTTTAGTTTCAATTTTAGGAAAATATAACTGTAAATAACCACCCCATCTCGTTCTCCCCTTTGGATCCAGACCTGACAAGGCCCAATGTGTGAGGGGTCTGGTGTTAACTGTGCCCTAACTCTAGAGTTTCATCCCCCAGTGTTTCCTAGAACACCGGAGGAACTTACCCCGCTCCTTTATTTGGGACATCATTTATGTTTTCCCTTACCCCTTTCTACTTTATTCTTCCTTTACTGTTCATGTAATCTGGATGGGTATTCTACAGCTTTCTAGGTTTTGAAGTTTGAGATGATGATTTTTCACTCTCTTTCTATAACCAGATAAAAGTTGGAGTCACAGATTTTTGTTATAACACTTAAGATGACAGAAAGTTCTTCTTACTTTCTCTACTTATATCCGCACTTCCCTCTCCCTCCTCTTGCTTCTCTTTTCACTCTTTGTATCACGTTATTCTCCCCACCCAGTTCCTGTTCTGTCTTCTGGACTTCCTTCCCAGTCTTTTCTTTTTCTTCTGTCTTCTCCAAATTCCCTCTCTCCCTTGGAGCCCCCAGTAGTATGACACAGAATAACCTGAGGACTTGGGATTGGGTCTTGGTTCTGCTCTGTGCTGATATTTGATCTTGGGCAACTTGTATAACCAATTCAAGTATTAGTTTTCTTCTCCTTAAAGTTGGTGGCAGGTGGGAAGGACAGGGAGGTGTGCTGTAACAGCTGATCTGTTTTGTTGAGTGAGTTACCAGAAGGATCACACGAAATGTATGAAGTGAGAGCACTTTGAAGTATGGAGCCACACAGTTCTATATCGACTTCCAGAGTTACTCACTGCTGCTGCTTCACCTGCCCTCTCCGCCATCCTCTTCCAACATTTTTTAACTTTTCGTCCTATCTTTCATTCTCCCACCTTTTCTAACTTTATACCTTTGGTTGTTTTTACACCAGGATTCTTCATTTCTCATTCACGGGTAGGTGCTGGGGGGTTTATAACCCCATGAAATTGTATGTAAAATTCTGTGTGGGGGTCAAGTGCATAGTTTTCTAGAGACAGGGAGTGGAACTTTGACTAGATTCTTAAGGGGTTGTTTATGTAACCCCCCTCCTCTTAAAACTTACAAAGTTTTGTGATTTCAGTAGTGAAGGATTACTTTGGTACTGGGAAATGAAGTTGGTGTTTTAATTCACTGGTAGGATTAAAAACTCAAATGCCTAAACTTTCTTTAGAGATTACTTTGCTCTAATGATATTTGAAACAGGAGTTTCTGATTTCTACTTTAATAAGATATATCAAGATTTAGACCTTTGATATGGGTGATTTAGGGCTTCCAGAGTATAATCAAGGTTGACAGAGATGACTGTGGAAGGACAAAGCCGCAACAAATGATGCTGTTACATTCTGAGTGAGGGAATAACAATTTAGGAAAACAGGAGAGTTTGAAAGGGAAATTGCACCAAAGGTAGCCCATTTTAGTAGTGGGGGCATAAGGAATAAGTGGAAGAGACAGAAGTACCTTTAAGAGCAAATAAGAATAATTTATTGATGGTAGGGACACTGGCAAAGGCAAATTAACTTTTTCTTGCTGGTCTTAAGGGAATATGTCGACCGATGCTTGGAAAAAACATAAATTTCCCTAGGGAAGAAAAGTAGAAAATAAAAGAAGATTGCTTTATAGCAGGTGATCCAAAAAATGAGTACAGTTGATGAGAAACAGAATTTCACAATCAGTTGAGACCTGCAGATTTAATTCTGGCAATGGAGGGGCCATATGAAGCAATTTTCTGGAATATTATGCTATAGTTGAAGAGTAGAAGTTTCTTTCAGTGTGTCTGACTGGTTTGGAAATAAAACTCAAATAGAGAAACATCAAGTTTTAGAGCTAGAAAGGATCTTTGCCATAATTTTTTATATGAACAACCTGGGACTTGATCAAAAAAGATAAGCAGTTTGCCCAAGATCTCTGAGTTAGATAATGGCAGAACTGGGAATGGAGAAAACTCAGGAGCAATGTTTATGGCTTGTATCATCTTGAGGCTTCATTATCCATTCACTCTGAAAGTCTTCTTAGATTTGGTATTAACATGTTTTATCTTAGTGAATTGAGAACTTGTGTAAAGGAATGTTCTGTTAGGAACAAAACTGCTAAAGGGGGAGTTCACAATAAAAGTCAGGGGGATTTGTGTAAGAATTCATTTGGTAATGGGAAGAATTTTGCAGTAGACGCAGGACTGTAATTGGTAAGACAGGAAGGAAGAGGCTAGGAATAGTCATTTTCTTCATTATTGTTATCAAACGATTATATGGCATTTCATCTTCAAAACCTTTTCAGACTTTAATTAAATGTCAAATGTAGTTAAACTCTAAATTGCATGGATAGTCTGGAAGAGTAGAGTGTTGAAGTTTGGTAAGAGATGAAAGAAATATATTAGAATTCTGTTCTGAAACATGGTTAGAATATGCTCTATTCTAAAGCAACCCTCTCCCTTATACATTAACTAAAAAGCAAAAACCTTGTTATGATATACTTCCTACCACAGCTGTTGACCCTCCATAGTTACAGATGGAGAAGTGGAGAAAATATGATTAATGCAGGCTGATTGGATCAACCGGTACTGGAAAGAAACGTTTGTCAGCTTATTGAGGTTCACCATTAGATGCAACATTTGAAAATTAATAGATCTACAATGTAAATTACAATGGCCTCTTTTTTCGCCTTTGGGACTTTCTTGACTATGATATGAGAGCACATTTTGACTATTTAAAAGGTTTTATGTCAGAACAATGCTAGTAGTATTTTATTCTTCTTGACATAAATCTATACACTGAGACTAAAATAGAGCAGGAAAGGAGCAAAAAACTACTTGGATCCCCCACACCTAAAAATAAATGAGACTTTAGAAGTCAGAATCATCACAGGAAACATGTCTTTTTCAATTAAAGAATTCTTTATTCACTCATGCATAAACAAAATAGTTATCTCCTGCCTGTTCAGGACAGAGTGCTACAATATTCTTGCTTCTAGGTCTAGGATGTTGTTCTTTGCAAGTAGCACCTGTCTTTTTTGGAGCAGTTCAGCAGTGGAAGAAATGACACTTTGATTCTTGTAATGAGGCACCATTAACCAGAGGTCTTTTGTAAGGGTGTAATTTCAAACTTCATTACAGGCCAAGGTGGCCACACTCCCCGTTACTCAGGAAAATGTGCTTCTGTTGTGACTGTCCAAAGGCTCTTACATTTTTAATGCATCTTGTTAGAATATTTATGAACACCATCGTCAGTAGAGGGCTTCTGTCTTTGAAACATGTGGATCACAAGGATATTAAGTGACAAGGTTACATTGCCCTGACTTTAGACTTTCATTTAGAAAAAAAGTTAAAGGTACATATATAATCTTGAATTCTTTCTGATTTGGTCCTTATTACTATTATAGCAGGATACAGGAAATATGTGTGCTTATGTCTCAGGAGTTTTAATTTTTTTATTATCAGAGTAAAGAGTATGAAGGTAGCCATCTGAATTCTACAATAGATGAGAATGAACATACAGTAACTGTGCTTCCTTTTCAAAGGCTGTTACTCTGGGAAATGTGTCTGTTTGTCCAAGTCAGGCCTCAGTCTTGTTAGTAGGTTTGACCTCTCAAAAATATTTGGAAGCCATGATTCCCTGATACAAACATTTCACATTGTAAATTTAGTTCTGCCCATCAACTCGGCAGTGATTTCGTTTAGAATGAAAGCTGCATCCTAAAAGACTCCAGGGTTGGGAGTTTTGTGTCCAATCTTGGGCCCAGCAATCCAGTGTGGGTTCCTGTGGGAAGGGAGATGCCACCCTGCCAGCGTGGCACCTTCCCTGTGATTGTCTCTTCCTAATCCCGACCCCTCGGTCCTGGGGGTGTCCAGGCCTGCTCCCCTACCAGCAAGCCTGGTAGGTTACTGACTGTCACATGAACACAGAATGGCTTGTAGGTGTAGGTTCTGGCTATAAAAATGTGTGTGTGTGTATACACACTTTCTCATGGTTTTCTTCAGATATTTCTAATATTAAGATCCATAGCAGTATATGTTCGATTTGAATTTACTTTGTTCATGCAATGAAAGAGTTATGCTTTTAAATCTGGTAAAAAAATACCATGACAGTATGCTGTTAATCTTCAAATAATAGCCTACTAAAAATGAAAACTGTAGTGAGGAAATATATAACACCTCAAAGGGTTGGAGCATGTTATAGATAATTTTTTATTTAGCAGAATTCTCCTTTACTAGAGGTATTTAAACAGTTTCTTCCTCACACAATGCTGTTCTTTTCAACTTGAATTGCTTTATATTATGTCTAAGTTATATGTGAAACGAATATTTGTCACCCATCAGCTGATTTGTACCTGTAAGCAAACCCAGATACCCAGACCATAGTCTATGAGTCTATGCTCAGTGTTGTAACAGAGAAACCAAAAGACATATGTTCAGAGAAAGAAATGCCTCCAAGCCTGCCTGTTCTTTTTACTTTTGTCTCAAAGGAGTTATGCTCATGCCGTTGCAGTAGTGGGGTGAGTACCTGGCAGTTCCATGCTGCTCTCTATACCCTGGAAGATGAACCCTATGGAGCAGCTTTCTGAAGAGCTTACATAAATTAAAAGTTATGTATTCAAATAGCAGGTGTTCAGTGTTTGCAAAAAAGAAAAAAAGCTTCACAGCATCATTGTGGTGCATTCAAGACAGTATTTCACATAAATAAGTACTTCTCCTCTCCCCCAAATAGTGCACCTCATCTGAAAGACCTGATGCATCAGACATCTAGAATCTCTGCAGGTTGAATGTGGTCCATGGGTTTTGTTAGGTCTATATCATGCTTTATAGTTTAGAATTGGTTGCAATACTTAAAAATTAGAAGAGTTCACTTTAAAAATCCAGATTTAGGGAATTATCTTTTTTTAAAAAATGAGAGGATTTGGTAACACTGTCCTGTGATCTTACATGTCAAGAGCCTGTGCAGCTGAGTCTTTCCCACCTTTCTCTTTTTCTCATTTACATTACTTCCCTGGCCACATCCTGCATCCAACTCTTATTACCTCTTAAACATGGTGAGAAGCCATGATGGGAATGGTGTGTGCTTACTCAGCTAATGCATTATGCCACCATATTTAACTTTTTTACTTCTAGATTTCTGCCTTAAAAAATGGGAATTATATTTGGCACCTATTTCTGATGAAAACTTTGACAATTAGTTTGACTTTTTAAGAGCAGTTCAAAGTAAAATCATTTATTACTGTTTTGACTAGCACATTTAAAATATGATTTTGTTTTGTAGGTTAAAATTGGCTTTATAGTAGACACCAAAGTATGTTTAGTTAAAACTTAAAAATGTTTAAAATGAGTTTTTGATATATGTCATTTTCCTAGAAAATTAAAATCAGAAGTCTGCAAATAACATGTATTTACATATATATTCTAAGTATTATAATGTATACTTCTGTGTGTGTATATATGCTTACCTGTGTATGGATGTATTAATTCAGTTAATATGCATTTCTAGCTATAAATGATCATGATAAAATTTCTGCTGCTTAAATAACATTTAAAATCAAGTTTAGGATGAGCCTAAAATGTACCATGGATGTAGATGTTAACTGTAGATGCGTGGCTTTTCTTGCAGAATACGGCAGGAGAATGATATGGTTGATTCAGCACCTCAGTGGGAAGCTGTATTAAGGAGACAAAAGGAAAAAAACCAAGCCGACCCGAACAACAGGCGATCCAGACACAGATCTCGTTCGTATGTGGACCCTTTTTATACCTTGATTCCAAAACACCAGATTTAAAGTGTGGTTATTCAGGTCTTCTAAAGTGTTTTAGTTCAATTAGGATTATTCCACTGTTTGTCATATTTACCTTCTAATATTTGTGACATTTTAAAAACATGTTTGAAGCCATAGAAGTTGAAGCACAGCCAAAACAAAATGGCATGAAAACAAGGTCCTCAAAGCCATATTTTTGTTTTGTGTTGCTTCTTAACCAAGTATACATTCACCTGAATAAATAGGAATAGTCTCCTTTGTTGTAGAGCCAGGCTGTTGGTGAAATAGCCTGCTGTTTCTCTTAGTTTGAGTTTCACAATTCTCTGAAATCTTGTTCCAGACTGAACCAGATGTAAATATCTTCCCATCAAAATACCATTTTTGAACAGTAGTCAGTGAGTGATTCATTACACCTCAGTGTTGGAATTTGCATGTTCCTTCTGTTGCTAGGCAACACTGTGTGTGAGCACAATTACACCATAATGGTGTGGTTGCCAGTCCCCCAAATTAATTTTCTTTGAATTGGTAAAGTTTGTGTGCGTGTGTGTTTTAAATCTGTGCATCATCAAGATTTAGACGCCTCACTCCCACTCCACTTCCCAAAGCATGGCTCACCTTTTTAAAGTGAGCTGAGACTATTTATCCTTTTGTGATAATGGGTGGTTAGATGTCTGGTGTTGATTACTCACAGGAGGAGGGATTAAGACCAGTTGTGTATGGTAAAGAAATGAAAGGATGTTGGGGAGTGGAAGTGGAGACTGGGTAGGTAGGTAGGGAGCTCTGAGGGAGCCAGGCAGGAGGGTGACAAGAGGACAGCTGTGAGTGTCACATCAGGTTAAAAGAGATTAGGAAAGAAATCAAGACTGTACCTGGGGTTCATACCAGGACCCTGTGTGCTGTGGGAAACTAAGGGACACTTCTCAGTCTCAGGTGTTTACCTTTCAATTAGAAATTAACCGTGTGTGTGTGTGTGTGTGTGTGTGTGTGTGTGTGTGTGTATTAGCAGTGCATTGTTATGAGTGATGACATTCTTTTTGTAATGGAAAATCTGCAAATAGTCACTAAACCATGTACACCCTTACAGATGTATCAATTACTCTAATTTTTTAAAGTAACCTAATTAAACTAGTATTAATGTAAAGCAGAGGTCAATGAAAATTTCCTTTGTTGTGATAGCACCTCCCCCCAACTGCAATAAAAAAATGAAGTTTAGATATGAAAGAATCAGACTTCATTGAATTAGTTTAACGAAAAGGTGCAAAACCCAAGATTAGACCCAGCATAGTCATAGGTAAATCTTTTGCCACCACGCTTTTACCTTTCTGTATGGAATTGTTTCCTATCTTCACTTGTTATATACAAGGTTTGGCAACTTGATATTAAATCTTAAAAATAGCATTCAATTTTTCTAAAAATTTCTAAAGCATTCTGAGTTCAATTAAATGCCAGTAGTACATTGAATTTATTTAAAAAGAGGAAAGTAAAATAAAATAAGAAAAAATCCTGTATATAAGTTTTGAAGAAGTCAAAAAACATTCCTGGAGTCAATAGCAAATAAATGGAATCATTCATTTGTAAATCAAAATTGAGAAATAGAATAATTCAAAGTTATTACTCTAATTCAGTTATATTATGGAGCAAATATTTGTAGTTGGACCTGGGAATTTAATCATTTTCTAGTCAAGTGGTTTGAGATTTATTTAACAGTCTAAGGAATAAACTTTTTTTAAAAATTGAGGCAGTTTCAGGTGAAATTTACATACAGTCAAATGCTCTCATCAGTTTAATGGATATTAACAAACGTATCCATAGTGTATCCATCCTGCCAGTCAAGATATAAAATATTTTTATTATCCAGAAAGTTCCTTCATGCTCCTTCTAGTCAGTGCCCACCCCTACAACAAACCACTGTTCTGCTTTCTTTCTTTCTTTTTTTTTCCCTCTGTCACCCAGGCTGGAGTATGGAGTACAGTGGCCCAGTCTAGGCTCACTGCAACCTCTGCCTTCCCGGTTCAAGCAGTTCTCCTGCTCAGCCTTCCGAGTAGCTGGGATTACAGGTGCCTGCCACAACACCCTGCTAATTTTTGTATTTTTAGTAGAGATAGGGTTTCACCATGTTGGCCAGGCTCGTCTTGAACTTCTGACCTCCAGTGATCCACTGGTCTCAACCTCCCAAAGTGCTGGGATTACAGGCAACCATCAACACGCCTGGCCCACTGTTCTGATTTCTATGATTAGTTTTTCTCTCTTTTTGAACTTCATATAAATGTAGTAACACAATGTATAATCCTTTAAAATCTTGCTTCTTTCACTCAGCATGTTTTTGAGCTTCATCTATGGTATCAGTGGTTATTTAAATATTTTTATTTATATATGGCAATATTTTTATTCATTCTCTTTTTGATGGACATTTGGATTGTTTCCAGTTTTTGCCTTTATGTTATAGACATTCTGTACAAGTATGTGTGTGGAATCTGTTCTCTTTTGCCTTGGGCAAACACCTAGGAGTAGAATTGCTGGATTAGAGGCTATTTGCATGTTTAATTTTTTAAAGAAACTACCAAAATGATTTCTAGAGAGGTTGTATCATTTTCAGACCCCACTAGCAAAGTATGAGAGGGTCTTGTTCTGCCCAGTTCTTGCTAGTATTTGAGTTTGTTGTTTTGTTAATTTTTACCGTTCTACTAGGCTTGAAGTAGATATTACATCTTGGTTTTAATGAGCATTTCATTCATGGCTAAGGATGTTAAACACATTTTTGTATGCTTATTGGTTATTTGTATGTCTTCATTTTTAAAGTGTTCAATTTTTTTGTCCAGTCGAATTGGGATTTTTCTCTTTTTTATTATTCGTTTTTAGGTTATTTATGTATTCTGGATAAAAGTTATATTTCAGATATGCATATTATGAATGAATACTTTCTCCCAGGCTGTGATTTGCATTTTCATGTTTTTCACATTGCTTTTTGATGAGCAGACTTTTTAATTTGATGAAGATCAATGTATCATTTTTTTTTCATTTCTAGTTAAGGCCTTTTTTTTTTTTTTTTAAATCTTAAGAAGTTTTTGCCTACCCCATGGTCACAAAGATAGTCTTATGTATTTTTCTAGCAGCTTTAAAAATTTTGCTTTTACCCTTAGGTCTGTGTTCCATTTAGAATTAGTTGTTGTATATGGATGAGTAGAGATTGAGAGGTTTTTTTTTCCTATAGTCTATCCAGTTCCACCACCGTTTTTGAAAAGACTTTTCATTGTAACCCCTTGTGGCCTTTGTTGAAAATGAATTGACTGCTCACATGTGGGCCAATTTTGTTTCATTGATCTATTTGTCTATCCCTAAGTCCATGTTGTCTCTGTTCCTGTAGCTTTATAGTAAGACATGAATAAGGCAGTATAAATTCTCTAACTTTGGCTTTTACTCTCCCCCTTTTTGTCAAGATTGTTTTCGCTGTTTTATTAGAAGTTTTTCATTTTTTTGTAAATTTTTGAATCAACTTGTCAATTTTTACTGCCTTCCCCCAAAGGCTTTTGACTAGGATTTTGTAAAATGTATAGATCAATTTTGAGAAAATAAATATCCATTTGTTTTTATCTTCTTTCAACATTGTTTTACAGTTTTCAGTACAGAGTCATTACATTTAGTTTCTAACATTTCAAAAAATTCATTTGATTTTTAGTATGTAGAAAAATAAATGATTTTTAAAAATACTGATGCTACATCTTGCCACCCCATAAACCTTGTTAAATTCACTTATTAACTCTGGAAGCTTTTGTGGGGGGGCAGTTTCTTAGGATTTTCTATAGTTACAATCATATTTGTAAACAGTTTTCCTTGATTTCTAGTCTTTCTGTCTTTTATTTCTGTTATTTCCCTTATCATACTTGCTAGATCATGTAGTACAGTGGTGCGTTACAATGTTGAATACAAGTGGTAAGAAAGCAGACATCTTTGGCTGCTTGCTCTTTTTCATAGCAGGAAAGCATTCAGTATGTCACATTATATGTGAGGCTAGTTGCACAATTGAGGAAGATCCTTCTATTTCTAGTTTGCTAACAGTGAAGAGTTTTGATCATGAATGGGTCTTGAGTTTAGTTATAAACTTTTTCTGCATCTATTGAGATAATTGGATATGGGTTTATTTTGTTCATGGAGGAATTAGATTGATTCAGGTTTGAATGATACATCCTTGCATTCCTAGCATAAGCCCCTTGTGATCATGATGTATTTTCCTTTTTGTATGTTGTTGGATTCTATTTGGCATTCATTATCTTGTTAAGATTTTTTTTGTGAAAAATTAATATGTAATTTTCCTGTAATGTCAGGTTTTTGGTAAAAAGATTATACTGGTCATTTAAAATAATTTGAGAAGCATTCCTTCTTCCTGTATTTTCTGAATGAGTTAATATAAAAGCATTTTTTTTCTTTCTTAAATATATAATTCACCAGTGAAACAGTCTCTGCCTGGAATTTTCTTTGTAGAAGGTTTTAAATTACAAATTCTGTAATTTATTATTTTGGCAGCTATTGAGATATTCATATATTATACTTATGTGTAAGTTTTGGTAATTTACGCTTTTAAAATAATTTGTTCATTTTTATCTAAGTTGTCAAATCTTTCAGCTTAAATTGGTTTATAATTCTTCATGTGCTCTTAACATCTGTAATATCGGTTGTGATATCACCACTTTGATTCCTGATGTTGGTGATTTGTGTTTTCTCTTCATTTTTTAAAATGTATGTTTTTTTTTCAGAGAACCAATTTTAGATTTTGTTGCGTTTTCTTTGCTGTTTGTCTGTTTTTTGACTTTCACTTTTTAGTATTCTTTTTATTTATTTTGTGTTTTACTTGCTCTTCTCTTTTTTATCTTCTTAGGATGACATTTATTTTAAACCTTTCCACTTTTCCAGTATAAGCATCAATTTATAAATTTCCCTTTATGCCTTGCTTTAACTATATCTCACGTATTTTTGACATTGT